GCAGTTTTCTACATAAAAATAAAACCAAAGCAAAAGAATTTGCTAAGGCAAAGCGCAGACTTGATTAAAATATTTTTTAAATGTCATTTTGAAAGAATAAGCACCCGTTTAAACCTGTTTTTTTTTTAAATATTCGAAATCTACTGACATGAAGATATGAAATTTTATTGATACGTGCGATACGTATACTGCATAATTTTCATTTGTTTTGTGTTTTGATTTCTTTTTGACGTACCGTTTGACGTAGGAAACAGCCCAAAGAACTCGAGTTTAAGTAAATGTTTCCAAATCCAGGCGTCTTCTACAAAAGTTCAATTCTTCCGACAACCTTAAAAAAAATTAACGTCTAAATGTCTAACTGGAAGTATTTTTTCTGTGTTTTTGGATTATTATTACAAAAGAGTAGTGGTTTTTCGATTATTATGGGATATATGAACGAATATGAGAATCTCAAAACCTGAACAAAATGTCAAGAAAATCTAGAAACAAAATCAGTTATACTTTCAAAATATTTTGGTGTTATATATACACCATGCGTCTATTTTTGGGAAGAAGTAACAATATTCCAATTTTAACTGTTTACTGTTTAAGGCATTTTTGAATTCCTTACAGCTATCCAGGGATATTTCATACACAATATCCTACTATATATTAATTTATGACCTACCATTTCTGACATATTTGCATGTTTTATTTAATATATCTATCGATTTTTCCAACTGAAAGCCTTTGTTACATATTTGATTAATTTTCTTATAGAAAGAAATGTTTTCGGTGGACATATAAAATTGGACTTCGGCTTCGTCATTAAAATTATACAATTTAATTAATTACATTAAGTTCCTGAATTTGTTTATGTAGACAAAGTCAATACAGGCGTTTGTGAATCAATCAAAGGTTATTTGGGGTTATAGACAACACCGTATCACTATTTTGAAGGAAATTTTTTACAATTTAATGTAAAGCAATGTAAACATTAAACTAGAGATGTTGTTCGATACGACTGCGGCATAATTTAATAATGAAATTGTGTTGAATAACTTGTTTAGAATTTTTTAGTGTATCCTCTTTTGAAAATTGTGGTTAGTGATTTTGTTAACATGCTAAAAGGAAAAGTTGCACTCGTGAGTCAGTTTAATTAAACTATTGGCAAACTAATGCCATTTAAAGTTGTTGTCGTGTCAGCGAATAGGGTGATAAGAGTGTTCAATAAGTTTTTCATATTTGGATGTATTAAGCTAATGGTATAACCAAATTTTGTTGACACTAATACTAAGACAAACTATTTTTTGAATATGAGATTAGCAACGTTCGTCTTTGTAGTGTTATGAAACAAAACAATATAAGTCCGCTGAACTTTTAAAACGCGGCCATTATTTTGTCATCCCATCGAAAAATCCCGAGACAAGCATTTTATACCGAATCTTTGTCACAGTTTTTGTGGAATACCAGGCAGTAACCATTATAACTAATATTTTGGCCATTTTCCCCTCCATCATAAGATTTATTTGTTAAATTATATGATATCATTTCAATAACATCTTGTATCAATCATGTGATAAAAACATCATTTTTGGAATATTTTTCCTGTTTATTAACGATACTATTTTCTTTGCCGTATTCTCAACATGGTTTCTGTTTTTGGTAGACTGTGGAAGAATGGCGAATAGTATTCTTCATAGCTTCAGGCATATATTTATTCGGTGCGGTAATTTACATCGCTTTCTCGTCAGCAGACCTCCAGGATTGGGCCATCGTCGAAGAATTCACGGAGGACCAGCAGGGAAAATTTGAGAAAGATACTTGATTTATTACTATTAATTAAATGTTTTTTTAAAGTTCATTTTATTTTTCCTTATTTTGTTTTCGTCAAATATTTCTGATTTATTTCTGGCGATGGAGATCGTAATATTGAAAATAATCTTTTATTATTAAGTAGCATTCTTAATTAGTCAGGTGTTAAAATTTCAGCTCTATCGATCGCATAGTTTATTTTTGTCGATTGAAGTAAAAAACTTGTATTTGTCTATAAAAATGCGTAAAAGGAACTTTCGAGCAGTAACTTCTATTTGAAAGGGGTGCTGATGTTTTTGTACCTGGTTTTAATTGGACGCATTCTAGAAATGTCTACCCCCGAAATGCACAAAATTCACGATATAATTTGAAGTGATAGATGAATCAAAATGCGTGAAATAGTTGAGGTTACATGGGCATCGCAAAGTACAGTGGTGTTCATTTTGCACATTTGTTCACAGTGGAGTAGATCAGTTTCCACACCGATATATGAGGTCGATTGGGCTGAACTACATTGATTATTTGTAAAAGGGAACAACGATAACAAAAGAGCGCTATGCATCATTATTGGAACGGCTGAACAAAGAAATGAAGGAAAAACGTCCTCATCTGTAAAAGGAAAATATCCTGTCTTAACAAGACCATGCTCGCGTGCTCACCTGCCGAGTTGTGATCTTGGGATTAAAGTTTCAAAATCCCGTGTTTACCCAATTTGGCCACCAGACTTGGCGGATAAAACTTTACTTCTAACAATGAAGCGGTCACACAAACAATTTTGAGGAACTTCCAAGATCTTACTTTTTAGACGGCTAAAAAAACTCGTAACTAAAATAGCTTTTATCAAACTTGTGGCACTATATATGCTAGTGTGGGTTCTCCCGAAGTACAACTATTTTTCTTAAAGCCGGAGAGCGGTCTCATGTAAATTTTGTAAATAAAAACGGCACACTAACATACAAAAGAAGTGACTTCAATACTTTTACCAAGCTAAATTTTATCAATGTAGGGCTATGGCGTAAAAATATATTTCAATACTTATCAATATTTCATTACTTTGCATCATTTTTTCAGTCTTATTTATTTTTGATAACGATTGTAGTTTTTGAGATATTGGCTAAATTGACAGTATATTTATTTATTTATTTATTTATTTATTTATTACAAAGGTGCCCTAACATGAAGAACTAACTTCACAATTTACAAGGACACACTAACCATTATTTAATTAACAAAGTAAAACTTATAAGTAAGTACCTACCTATATCTACGATAAGCAGAAGATAAAAAAAAAAACAATAACAATCAAACTTGCCAAACTAAACCAAAACTAACACTGTATAATAAGTGCGTGAATTACAAAAAACAAATGTGAAAAAATAAGGAAAACAAATCAAAAATTAAAATAAATTTATAGAAAAACCCTAATTGCTTGATTTCGAAACGAATTAAGTGATAACGCAAAGATGTCAATGTGCGAAAAATAATTATTGTAATGTCTATGTAAAAGAGATATTGGGGAATTGTTACCTAAGTTTGTATTAAATCTAGGCACGTAAAATAATGAAGGAGTTCTTGTTATAACGACTCTGGCATTGAAGGATAGTTTTTCCAACAGTAAAGGACAGTCAATCCTACTATTAATAATATTATGCAAAAATATAGCACTGGAGATAATTCTTCTAACAGATAACTTCAGTATATGGTAGAAATTAAGACTAGCTTCATACGAATGAGTTAGTAAGTTACAGTTAAATCTAAAATTTAAATGGAAAACAAACTTTTTTTGTATTCTCTCGATTCTGTCTATATATTTATAATACTGAGGACTCCATATCACACCGCCATAGTCAAGGTGAGATCGAACGTAGGAATTGTATAGAATAATAAGCGATTTGTGATCCTGAAATTCCTTGCTAACTCTTAATATAAAACCTAAATTTTTATAAGCTTTTTTTACTATATTATCAATGTGGATATCAAAACTTAATTTTACATCTATAGTTATTCCAAGATCCCTAATCTGCTCTACTTTTTTTATTTTTACACCATTGAATGTGTAGTCAAAGTTTATATCATTTATCCGCCTGCTGAACTTAAGACAGTAACATTTATCAATATTTAAAAATAGACGATTTTTTACACAGTATTCATAAAAACGATCAAGATCTTCTTGAAACTTATGACAGTCGTTAAGGCTTTTCACGGGCGCGTATGATTTCTGATCATCTGCGTATGATGCTGATTTAGCAAAAAGAAAACATTTACTGACATCCGCGATAAACAGTGAAAATAACAATGGTCCCAAATGGGACAGTTAAAAATTACAGTGTTAAATGTAAAAAAAAAAACAAATACAGCTTAAAATATCTATAAAGAACCTTGTAGCCACTTATATCTGATATTGTTTTATAAAAAAATAACGAAGGTAGCACACAAATTTATTATCCAGTTATTGCACAGACCTTTTTTCTGTTTCAAGTTTCAACAAAATATGTAAAAAATTGCGAAAACACAAAGTGGCTCGCGGCTGTGAATAACGGAGCTGACGTCTTATAGTTACACTTTTCGTACCCTTAATCTATGTATAATTGGGCATTTTCCAGTAATCACACTTTTCGGTTGATACGACCTTTTCTAAATTATAAAATATAGAAAACTGACCCCAAATGTTTGCAATCATATATTCGATGCCGAAGAGCTTATTCAATATTTATTTGTTCAGTCCTCTCAATTTTTCACAGCACGCATACTGAATATTTAGAAAAGCATGAATAAGTAAATGGCTTCGGAGTGTATGTACAGAATATTAAAAATTCCATACTGAAACATACATTTTCATGAAACTAAACGCTTAAGATCAACTGTGAGTCCATAACTAAACATCTAAAACAACCGTCGGGTTAACCGAAAGTGGTAGAAAGTTTTTATTTTATACCGTTCTTACTAAATCAAGTTTCTCGTTAACAAATCAATAATTATTGTGGTCGACATAATACCTCACATTTATATTATAGATAATTAAACCAAATCCAAAAATTATTTGATTTTTTGATATATAATATGATATTGCTACTCGGGGACATACAATTCAAAATACTTTCGAAGTAATTGGCAACAAAAAACTTAAATCAATGATACTACTATCAAACTGAATCAAAAAAAGACATAGGACAGTAATAGTTTTAATAAATAAAAAAATTTGTTACCTGATAATCAGGCGGATCGTAGCTGATTATTGAAATTGGCCTATTCATCGCCTCCTGGTAGCTGAGTTTGTCGCGAGGTAATTTCATCTCCGCTGAAATTTCATGCAATGGTGTCAAAATAAGTCTCTCTGTCTTAATAGAATAGGAGCAGAAACTCCATAGGATAAGAGAAAAAACATTTATTTTATGTGGAAAACAAGTAAAATATTAATTAACGATACAATAAGGTCAAAAAGTCACAAATTTTAAACTGCATATAAATTTTTGAAAACTGCCACAAACCTTAAAATTAAACTCGTTAAAATTTCTTTGCATAGACATAGACAATATTTTGCATCTCCAACCTTCTATGATTAATTTGACAGCAAAAAGCAAGCCGACTTAGAACAGCATTGTAATTAGAATATATACCTTAGAATTGTCGATCTAAATGCAGCAATTCTTAAAAAAAAGATCTGCACACTTTCTATATTGTCAATGTGCGTATTTTATAAACACGAGACCATAATTGGCTTGCATACGCAATATTTTAAGTTAAAGATAAATCTGCTTTAAATCCAAAAATAAAAGCTTTTCCGAAACATTTATATGTTTCGGAAACGAGACTTTCGTATCAATTAATACTCCAAGATCCTTAACTTCTTTTACTCTAATTTATTATTTTATATTCAAACTCAAGGGTTCAGGTTTCTCTACAATATGTCACGCAAACGGCAATAACATCATTTATATCAGACTGAAGTGACTGGCAATCTGTTAATTATTTTATAGCTCAAAATTCCTTGAAATCATCTGCAACTCCTTGTATTAAAGCAAACATAACAAACTTATTTATACGGAAGATTAACAAATAGAACAACATGGGTCCAAGGTTATTGTTACTATATTGCTGAACAGATATAGCTTACAGAAGTTTTTCTACTTAATTTTTATGAAATGTGTAAATACTGATTACCGGGTCAAAAATTATTGACCCAATAACTTTATTAGTCAACATTCCGCACCAAACAGAGCCCTACGCTCTTGCTTTTTTACCGTTTCTGTTTTGCAGGGATTTTCAATGACCCAATAGTGCCTATTTTTCCTGTTGAACATCCCTGCAGCAGTGAAGATCGAACGGTAAGTAAAAATGTTTTTTTCACAAAATGCCTAATATTTTTTAAGAAAAACTTGCAACACATTCTCATTGTTTTAATAAAAAAGGCAAATTATTGAACGTTCCTGATATTCCGAATGACCCACATAATTAACAAATATTGTTTCCAGAAATTATAATTAGTCATCGCGACACTATTAATATCTGTTAGAGTACCATCAAAATTTACACATAATGTTTTGTTCCTCAATGGACCCAAGTTATTTCAAAAACGAATAAACCAAATATCGACCAACTAGATATTTTTTGGTTTGGTTAAAATTGACTTTCATCTTAAGTAAAAATATACTGGGTGTTCCATTAAAGAAAGTGAGGTTGCCGATGTTCTTTACATTTCCAGATCTGAATTGTTTTTATTGGTACGTTCAGAAGATCATAGAGAAAAACCTTTAATATCAGATGGTTGTCAAAATAAAATGAAAACAAATTAAGTTAAATACAAATATAAATTTTGGAAAATGCATACAATAATTTTCTTTTAATATTTGAAGAAAATACTGTCCCCATTACTAGAAGACTTTTTTTAGTGTAAAATTTGCCTCACTTTCTATGACGCCCGTCAAGATCAAATTCACTACTATATGGTCTTCAACTTGTAGCGGGTTTGATACAATTTTTTATTAAATATGAATGACCTCTTTTCTACTTCTGCAGTGTTCACAATTAAACAACCAGCAAAAAAAATCGAATTCCATGCACTATTCATAATAAATTACACCAATTGAACTGAACAGTTCAAATAAGAAAGACAAATATTTACAAATTTTAGCTTCTCACCTGTTCTCAAAGCTTGTTCTTCGGCGTGTTTCTGCATCACTTCACGCACGATCTGCTCCAGACGTGTATTGTTTTCGTTCTGGTATTGTTCCTGAAGGCGACGCTTTCTGACGAGGTCCCGGATTCGTTGAAAACTTTGCGCCAACTTCGATTCATCACCAACCTCCTGTGATTGTACGTTATATTGGATAATAAGTTAGAGCAGTTAATTTCCGTTTATACTTACCTCTTTTCTGTGCTTGAGTTCCTCTGAATTGAAACTATTAAGCAACAGAGCCAAAAACAAATTGAGCACCATAAAATTGCCCATGACCAGCGTGGGTAGGAACACGGCCAAACATGTTCCGGGGCCCTAGAAATTGAAAAATCGACAAAAAACTTTAATACAAGAGTAACTCACGTCAGGTGACTCTGACCTAAAAATTGATAAAACCCACAGACAATGTAAATAGTCAAATAGGTTACTGTAGTTACAGAGTGTTCAGAGAGCCCTTTACCATTAGCAAATATATTAAGCCGAGATTTATTGGAAAATTTCTAAATTGAAGAAAGTGAGAATGCTGCAAATTCTACTTGAACATTGCAAGAGTGCCTAAAGGGCGTAACTGCACCACAAATCGTACCATCAAAAAAATTGTTTTCGATCACTTATGCTTTTAAATCATTACTTGTTATAAAGGGTGTTTTTTTTTTCGATGTATAGAACTTTAAGTTGGCATTACTGTTCATGATGGCGACCGATTTAACAGCTGTCAAGTGATTTATTCTCAGTTTGGTTTGGCATCATCATGAATAGCCAAACGATCATCAAGTAAGGCGTAGATTCGTCGAATGGGCCCAAAACGAGATTTACGTTTTTCCCGATTTTCATAAGCGAATTTTGTTTAGCGATGAAGCGCACTTCTGGTTGAATGGCTACGTCAACAAACAAAACTGCCGCATTTGGAGCGAAGCTAATCCTCAAGTGTACGTCGAAACACCGTTACTTCCAGAAAAACTGACTGTTTGGTGCTCTTTATGGGCTGGTGGAATCATTGGTCCGTACTTCTTCAAAAACGATGATGGCCAGAACGTTACAGTCAATGGTGATCGGTATAGAGCTATGATCACTAATTCTTTCAGTCCGGAATTGGATAACCATAATGTCCAGGAGATGTGGTTTCAACAAGACGGCGCAACATGTCACACAGCTCGTGCAACAATCGATTTATTGAAAGACACGTTTGGTAACCGCCTAATTTCACGTTTTGGACCTGTGAATTGGCCTCCAAGATCTTATGATTTAACACCGCTAGACTACTTTCTGTGGGGCTATGAAAAGTCATGATCTATGCGGATAAGCCACAAACGCTTGACCATTTGGAAGACAAGATTCGCCGTGTTATTGCCGATATACGGCCACAAATGTTTGAAAAAGTCATCAAAAATTGGACATCCGCGCCAGCCGTGGCATTCATATGCCAGAAATCGTATTTAAAATGTAATGCCCCAAGATTATCTTTCGGATAAATAAAATTCATGTCAATCAAATAATCCATCGTTGTTTTATTGCAACTTAAAGTTCTATACATCGAAAAACAATAAGCCTTACATAGGGGGTGTTTGTATTTTCATTGACAACTAACAACTTTATAATTTTAAATAAAATACCTTTGCATATAAAATCATTTTTTAATTCCTCAGAACTTTCAAGACATATTTCACATATGCAGGGTGTTTCAAAACATGCGAAAAATTAAGTGTACCATTAGGCAGCTATCCATTCGTCTTAACGCAACAACGCAACTATTCAAAATTCCGTTGCTTCCGCCAATCGCGAAATCGCCAATCGATTTTATTGTAACCGAAGAAAATCCTTGACGCTTGTGTCTACAAACCCAAATTTTCCATTCCACGTGAATATAATTAGTAGGAAAATTCGGTGACATTAAATGAGTGTTAATATGCAAATGTTGTGTTTATTTTAGAAAGTGGCCTTGCCTGAAAGTCATAAACATCCTCGATACACATCGCGTTTATGCAAAATTCTTCTAATATGCTCCTTCGGTTTTATGTAAACACACCTACATGCTAAAACAACACGAGCAAATCGTTTGCTATGCATGAAATTTCCACTTTACGCTACTCTAGCAAATGGGGTCTAAACTTATACTTGGACGAACTCTTAACGAGCGCCGTTAAGGTCCAAGCTCATATTATTAATTTTACATTTTATTCGAGAGTGGGGTTCACCCCACACTCTTACTGCTGGCAACTCAGTTAGTTGATGCAGCCTGTCTTCTTGTCTCTGTCGAAGTAAAATCTTTTCAGTGCAATAGTGCCATCGCTTGTATCAAAAAGCGGCTACAACTTTTGATTTTTTAAACACGACAACCAGTATATTGTTCAATTTTTCTTTTTGCTAACACTTTGTGTTAATTTTTGTAAAATATATAATGATAATAAATAGCTATAATGCTTTAACTGTTAATATCAATAACATTAACAAAATTATATCTCGAAATAAATTTGCTACCAAAGGGTTAAGAAAGTCAGACATCTGGCACAGCCAGTTGCTGCTTCATCCCAAAATTTAGCAGTAAAGTAACAGACAGCGGAATAGACAAGGCCTGGAGTGGGAGTGGGAGATAAGACAAGCAAGTATCTAAGTACAGGTTAAGTAAGTAGAAATGAAAACGAAATCTTTTTATACATATATTTTTTCATATTTATATTATATTTTTTATTATTTTTTATATTTTTATATTTTTCAGTACCACCCCAGTAAAAGTACCTTATCTGCGGAGAATGACATTGTGGATGTACGTTCGAAATCTAATTTTGTAGTACATTGAATAATTGACACATTGCACATTGAATTGAATAATTTTAGAATAGAATAACAGCGTGGAGCTTATATCGATTGCACATATTCAACTAGCCTGAACTAACCAGATATGGTGAAATAGCTAGTTCTACGACTAACTCGATCTACCATACATTAATTTCAGACTACTTTATGCAACTTATAACTTGCTGGCAATGTGCCTTCTACATTTTAGCAGTGAATCTAAAGTAAGTTCTAAACTTTTGCAGCTGTTACAAAAAGGCAAAAGAGTTTTTCGGTATGGACAGTTTTACGTCGCTTTTAATTTTATAAATTTGCTTACTTCGTTAAGGCATTTCTCAGGAAATGAAAAGTACAGTTAAATGTCATGGGAAAGAAGATGATAATTAAAAAATTGTGATCATGTTGTAAACTCGAATTTACAAATTGCATAAGAGAGGAACCTAAAATACTGCTTTGAGGTGAACAGCCAAATGTTGATACGTTAAGTATTATTTTTTGTGTTCTGTTATTTGAAAATGATGATAATAATTTATAAGAAATGAGGATTTCATAATTTGTCAATAATATGCTAAAATTAAGTAAAGCCAAGGCAGTACTTTTGTTACCACCATAAAACTTAAAAATATCACCTCATTCATTCATTTGTAAGAGCGCATTCACAACTATAACAGATCCAAAACCGAGGAAAAATACAAAATGCCTAATTTTTAGAGTGTCATAATTTGTCAATAATATGCTAAAATTAAGTAAAGCCAAAGCAGTACTTTTGTTATCATCATAAAAATTAAAAATATCACCTCATTCATTCATTTGCAAGAGCGCTTTCACAACTATAATCAGATCCAAAACCGAGGAAAAATACATAATGCCTAATTTTTAGTGTGTCAAAATAAAATTATAAAATTAAAAAATTAAAGTAATAAGTATGTGTATAGTCAGTCTGTTGTCCCTTTGTTGAGGTTTTACACCGTTCTGAAGTCTCTTTCAGGATGATTTTATTGACTGCACCGAATTCAACCCAAATATATCAGTTTGCTTAGTATTTTAATTTTAGAAGGTTACTGTCACTTACCTCTGTGCTTTCCGCTCTCATACAGTCCCATAAAGGTTCGATCCATTCCCCGCACAATATTCGAAATATCATCATGAACGAGTGAAAGAAATCTGTAAAATTCCACCTGCAACAAAAAATGTTTCTATCATAACACAAAGGATGGTTGCTTAAACGCAAGTGTACCTTGGTACCGGATCCGGAATGAACTTATCTTCAGTGTAGTCCTTCGAAAACAGCTGCATTCCTATGACGGCAAATATATAGATGACTATCACTAAGACGAACGTTAAATTTCCCAGTGCACCAATGGTACTTATGATTATACTCAACAGGACTTTCATTGTGATCCAAGACTGAGCTAGTTTCAATACCCGTAGCTGGAAAAGAAATGGATAACAAATGAATCTCAAACCGAATTGATATTAAAAGAAATTTTTAATAAATAGATGCACGATTGCTATCTACGAAATATAGTAATTTCATGTCTTGTCTAAAATTTTATTGTTGTATTCTTGTTTTGGAGTTGAGACATAGTGTCTCTCTGATAAGTAAGGTAAAAACATTACTGCTTGGTCCTATAATTTTCTTCTTTTCCCTTCTGATTTTCTGATTATACAGACGTGAAAAGTTTCGCATTTATGACAAGTGGGCATTTGCCGGTAACATTTAAAAATGCGCGGTCAAACGTTTTTACCACTTATATTAATTTAATTTGGAGAAAATTTGAAATATCTATTATTTATTATTTATCTAATTCTCTATCACTTTTATCTGCACCGCCGAATGTCAAATCTCATTATGAACGTTAAATATGGATAAAAATTATTGTATTGTATCAACTGGTCTATAACTATTATATTATTTAATTTACTCTATCTTTTTTAAGGTATTCACTTTTGTTTAGCTACAGTAAAAAAAAAAATAAAGAAAGGAAAAAGCAAAATACAAAATTGTTTGGCAGTTGAATTAAGTACCTATCCAAAACTTTGTGATATATTTCTTTCAAAATTTTTTATAACAAAAAAAACGCCCATAGTAAGCTTATTTCTTAAAATTTTAAAATCTTGTGCTCAGAATTTTTGTTGAAGAAAATGAAGAATTTATGACAATTTTTTTCTAATTAGAACCAATTCAATTCAATTAGACAATCAAAAAACACTTTTGACAGTGCAAGTAGCCAGTTTTTTGTTAATACCAAATTTCGTATATATAACATAAAGTGCATCTCCAGATTGGTGGATCGGTCATGAAGAAATAAAAAAATACCAATAAAGTTTCAGTTTTATGGTTTTTTTGCAAGCAAAACTTTGAAAATTAAAAGCCTCTTAAAATCAAAATCCGAGGTTATAATGAAATGACCATTCAAGGTTCATATTTCTAGAATCAAATTAGATCCAATTTTGCTTAATATTTGTAAAACGTTGTTTTTCTTTAAATGCAAGGCGCTAGTCTGGCGAGATATTTTAAAATACATAGATAGAAACTTGTTACCACTTTCCGAATAAGCCGGAAAGCAACACTTAGTAGTTCAAAAGTAATTTATAGAACTGTAATGTTGCTTAATGCAACTTGGAAGTTTTGAACTCACTGCAAAGTCATAATATAGATTAACTTACCAACCGAAGTCCCCTCAAAACTGAAAGGCCATCGACCAACTCGAATATCAGGTCGAGTAGGCTGGCTGAAACGATTATCAAATCGAATATATTCCATCCACAGTAGAAAAAATCTTTGCTTAAAGCCATTATTTTTAGGCAGCATTCGAACGTGAATATTGACGTAAACACCTGGGAATTAGATGCTTTTCGTAACAAGAAAAATTAAGACAAATGGCTTACCTTATTTCCTATATCTAGAGCTCTAAGAATCGATTCGCTCATACCGTGGTGTTCCAGAGCCAAAAACATAGTGTTTAATACGATGCAAACGGTAATTGCTAATTCGAACAGAGGATCCTTTACTATTTGGTAAAGGCTTTGTTGGAATTGCAACCAGCCGTCGTAGTCTAGGCAGCATCGCTCGCAACAGTTGCAGTTTCTATCTATTATTTCACCGTCTAAAATCCAAAAAAAAACATTAAAATGTTTACGCAAATTTCGGCAAAATAATGTCATTTTTTAAATTGATTTTAATTATTTTTATATATATTTCGAATTCGGTGGCCTAGTTGATGATATTTTTTAAGTCTTAAAATTACGACAAATAAACTGGTCATGACATCTTATTGGACCAAAACAAAATTCTTGCGTGTAGTCAAATCTTCGGCCAAAAAAAGCGAGAATCCATAGAAATGTCTAAGCAACAAATCTTTAGATCTCATGTCTTTACCTTTGATCAAACATTAAATAAGCAGCTTTCACAGGACGAAGGAAGAATGCAAAAGATTTGAAAAAAAAATTATGTTGTATTAATATGGCGAATTTTTATTCAAATAACGATTTATTAATATAACACAGAAAATGAGGGTTTCTCTAACCCAATACGGTTCAGCTGCAAAATTTACACTCGTCTGTTCAAATAATCTTTTTTAAAAAGTATGAATATTTTTGATATATTATCAAAATCTGAATAATATTGGGGTTAAGTACTGCGACACCTACCATGAAATTTTCTGAGGAATCAAATGTTAAATAACGTAGCGGGTGTTTCATTAAAACTATAACTTTAGGTGCGGTGAGGGGCTTTTATACAAACAAATCTAGTATCTAAAATTTTTCAATAAATTTTACTCTTATATATATATATATATATATATATATATATATATATATATATATATATATATATATATATATATATATATATATATATATATATATATATATATATATTACTGGATACCTAGAATTTAGTTAGCTATGGTTTGTAAATATTTTTGACATTAATGCATGGCCTGGTAACTTTTTGTTTGAAATACATATAAGAGTAAAATTTATATATTAATTATTTATTATTAATTTATATATTATTAATATATATATATATATATATATATATATATATATATATATATATATATATATATATATATATATATATATATATATATATATATATATATATATATATATATATATATATATATATATATATATATATATATTTGTTGTTGGTGTAATAGCAACTTCAAACAAAAAGTTACCATGCCATGCATTAATGTCAAAAAGATTTACAAACCATAGCTAACTAAATTCAAGGTATCCAGTAATATATCATAATATCATATAATACTAAATTTCAAAAATTTTTGATTTCCCTATACAGAATTAACAAACGTCACTATTCCACCAGTGTATAAAATCTGTAATATGGAATTGGCATTTATTTCATCTATAATATAGGTTTCATCAGGACCTAACCCAAATTAAAATAGAAAACCCATCCCAGCCTATTTTAAACCACTCGAGTATATAACTTTTGAACCACAAAGAAAATACGATTAACAACAACAATTATATTTGCAATAAAATTTGTTGCAACCCCCTTATGAGTTGAGTCGTAATCTTTCTGTGATTATAATGTAATAGAAAAAACTTGTAGTATAAAAAACTAATTTCATGTCAAAGTTCTTAACACTTTTAACAATACCACATCATAACAAAGAACTTAAAAAATCATATTTTCATAACATGCTTAGCATCATAAATCATGTTCAAACAGTCGATTTCTCAAGACCACTCGCATCTCTTAGAAAAAGAATAAAAACAACCCTTTCAATCGCAATTTTTTTTTTTTTATAAATTATTGTTGTAATTGTTATAAATAAAATTTCTTTACTTATATTTTAATTGTTGTCTATATCCACTAAGTTATAAATTCATTTTACCCAAATGTGTTCTTTAGGTCCATTTTTTCTATCCTTTCCCATACCAACTTGCAGGTAAAAATATATATAAAGTATAATAAGGATATAGTTGTCAACTACTTATTTCATACGTAACAAGGCTAGTAGGATCAACTATTATTTATTGTTGTTGTTATTATGATCCAGATCTCAACAGTATTTGTGAGTTCATCTCGTAAAAAACAAGGATCAATTAACTCTTTTGCTGTAGTAGCATTGTTATTTCACGCTGTTTTTTGTTGTTGCCGTATATTATTACAGTTAATAAAGTATGCAGTATATTAAACAGCATATTATTACAGTTAATAAAGTATTATTATAGTTAATAAATAAATAAAGAAATCGCGGCTCTTATTGAAGAAGAAAATACATTGTCCTAGAACTATAAAGATTCAATTAAATCTCGAAGCCGAAATCTCAAAAATTATTATTTCTAAAATATTACACGTGTTTCTCCCACACGGACGTCATTAGACCTATTAAAGCAATTTTTTTGAAATAATACAAAAACTTAGATAAATTAAGAAGAATACGCACATACAAAGAAGTCAACTGAAACGCACACAGACACAAATTGGAATAAGACAGAATCCGTTTGATTTTACCGAGAAATAAAAATTGAAATAATGTTGCGATTAAGAAGTAAAAAATACAAAACTATAAAAAAACACTTAACCGGGTTACATGGCACACCTGCAGTTTATATTATTAAAAATTAATGTCGGCTCAAAAATGTATACCGAGCTCTTTATTGAATGGCACCACTTAACCAAAAGTTGTCATCAATGGTCTAGTTCTTCTGTTGACGACTGCGTTAGAACAAAAATTTTTAGGCAAGTTACATGACTATCAATGGGTTCTTGCCGGTCACCTTTTTTAAGTGAATTTTTCATGAACAATCTTTAGAGAAAAATTATGGATGGTTAATTTTCCACATATTAAATAGCTTACAAGACATATGTGGAAGATATATGTATTGTCTGGAATGGCAGCCAATAAACGCTTACCGAATTCCTACCATTTACCAATTCCTTACATGTGAAAATTTATTTTACATTGGTAAAGGAAATCGGGTGTACCTCACCGTTTCTTGATATTCTATTATTTAAGAAAAGTAAAAGAATTGACTTCGAGATTTTCAGAAAGGCCACATCTACTCTCCATATTCTCATAAATTTACCTCTTTTAATTCTTTAATCAACAGGCTTTTTGACATTCCACTTTTAAAGGAAGCATTTAATAAGGAATTGACGGCGATTAGACAAATTGAATTCAATAACGGTTCTCCAATCGTGTGAAGATTACTCTAATGAGCCATGTGTTCCTCAAAATAATTCACAATCGAATCTACAAAAAATGCGAGTCAAACATGAGTGATATTCAATTTGGGTTTCGTAACAGCCTCGGAACACGGATAAAGACACGGTGTTGTCGAAACAATTGTCATGTTAAAATATATAATTTCGTGAAAATCTGAACTTTTAGTTCTTATTTATTCCGGTGATATTTCGTGACACTTAGCTAAATTGTCTATAGCGTTAAAAAAAAAAACAATACATACAAACCATTTATAATAAAAGTTACAGATCCAATAGATCATTTTTCTAGATCAAAAGTATATTCTTTGAACTGTGAGAATTGTAATGAAATTTATATGGGACATTCTGGCAGGAAGATCTTCGTGAGGGTTCACCAACATCCCAGTTTGGTGAAAAAGTACAAGGACACTGAAATGACAGAAACCAGATTTGCTTTCACTACTCATCTTTTATCCACGGGTTATATTTTTTCTCCAAATAAAAATGTCATTGTTTAACATGAGTGCCCAAAAAGTAGAAAACTTGATCTGCTGGAGAGATTAGAAATCAGCAAAGCAAAGAGGAGTCCTATCCTTGATTGCGTCAATGTCGTTTTTAATTTTGAGTCGACATTAATTTTTAATAATATAAACTGCAGGTTTACAGAGGCGCTATTTCATACTTGACCTCTAGGAACTTAAACAACTTACAACAAGTAGTCCCCTAAAGAACATTTTTAACTAAATATTTAAGATGTTCTCTAAAACGCAAATTAGTATGGATTAGTATTAAATATTAATTTAGTATCGTTTAGTTTTATATTTATATTTCCTTCTATAAACAATTTGTTATTTTTGTTACTAAAACATATAAGTTTGGTTTGACTAAAATAAACGTGCGGTACACCACACAAAATTTCAACAGTTCAAGAGAAAACATTTTGAATAGATATCCTTTGACAACGTCAGCTCAAATAAGAAGCAATTAAGTCCGATGCCAAGTCAAAAAATCCATATTTTAATTTTGCATATAAGAGTTTATGATTAATCGTGTCAAAGCCCTTGGAATAATCGAGATACAAGCACACTAGCTAATCCTTCTATGCTTTTCTAAAGCTACATTGCCCTTCCCGTATTATATTATTAATATGGTGGTAATCCCAGTTGTCAAACTTCCTTCGTTAATTTCCGGCACACCGCCGTTCTTTGTAAATGGTTTTAGTTTACAAAATTGCATTCATCTATTGCTAAAAGTCGACTAAATTTGCAAAAAAGGTAAAACTGCATGTCAGTACCATTTCGTTTCGGATGGCACAAGGATATTTATTAACGAATTTATTAATAAAAGAATTTAAATCCATTGTTAAACATATTTCGCTCAAGTGTCAAATAAAAGATGTTGCATTTTAGCAGTTTTGACCTGGACATATTTTTGTCCGAGATGTACTGGTAGTTTTCCGGTTTTTTACAGCACAATAGCAATAACGCTCCAGAAGGTATGCATAAGAATTATAACAATATTTATTTATAATTTTTCTGGTCGATTTTCTTAATATGATTTTTTTTCAAATTTCTACTGCTATTTGTTCTCCATACCAGGTGACACAAGAAAGTGGGAACACTCTATACTTTTAAACGGCTTGAGATAGCGATTCGAAATTTGGAACTGGTGCACTATGTTTAAAATTCCTAAGAAATGAAATTGAAGACTGGTTAGATGATTTTCGGCAGGATGGCGCGTCCCCTCATAATTTTAGAGATATCACTAAACACCAACGTGATATTTATGAAGATAGACTAATCTCAACACACGGTCCAGTCAATTGGCCCCCACGATCACAGGACTTGATACCGTTAGGTCTTCTTGTTTGGGGGTACGTAAAAGACCGTATTTATGTAACTCCAGTGTTCGACCTACAAGAATTACAGCGGAGAATATCGACTGCATTTAATAATATAATTCCAGAAATGTTGGGAAGAGTTACAGCGAATGTAAATTCTAGAGTCAGGGAGTGTCGTATACAAGAAGGAGGACATTTTGAAAACATTGTACGAAAGTTTATCTTAAAATAAATTGGTTATTAAGTAAATATCTATTGCACATATTTAATTCAAATAACTACAAAACTCAAGTTCCAAAATAAATGAATGTGATATTGTGTGTCAATGTAAAACTTGTCTTGCAGTAACACAAGTTGATATACCACTTTCAAATCGATTCCACCGACATTGTTGAGGTTTTATTTTCTAACAGATTTATAAAATTTTGTTTTGAATTATCTCAAATAGTGTCAGATTTGAAAAGCAAAAAAAATCTATTCTCTTGTTCTTCTGAGTTTCCGGCAAAAAGTGCTTATAACTTATGATGTATGTATACATACAATACTTAAGTTAATTTTTGACGGTATCCCAGTGATCCAAAATCATATAAACTTTTTACTATAATAAAACACTTTCAACAAAAAATCGTTGAATCTCAGAACAAACTCTCCCTTGAATTTAACTTTTGTTAAAATACTAATCTGTTATCTGGTTTTTTTCTTTCTATGCGCTTATTTTTTAACAGATTTTGAAAATTTTGGTGTCAAAATGTTGCAAAAAAAGTACCCGTTTTAAAATGTTTTTATTAATACTAGGGTGCTACTTGAAAAAACTAGGTTATCCTAAAAAATTAATAGTTCATTACATTAAATTCTATTTGCCATTAGAGAAGTAAAGAAAAGTTGCATTTACAATTTTTCCTATGATCAGGTGACCTCGTAAATAGTATTTATGATAGTCACAGCCTCCTAGACACAATTTTTAAAAATTAAATAAAAATTTCAGAAAACAAAAAAAAAAGAGGTAAACCGTCCTATCCTAAGAAGAATGATCCGCGAATCCAAAAATGCAAACAAATATAGATTGTGCCATATAAAATTAAAAGTCACTGAGGTTGCCTCTCAAACCGGAAGTGTAAACAATGACTACGTATTGTCAAAAAATTCAGCCTATATTTAACCTTCCAAATTTCAAATAACTATCTCAAACCGTTTAAAAGTTATAGAGTGTTCCCATTTTCTAGAATTACCCGGTATATGGTACCTCGCCACCACTAATATCCAATCGAGCTTTCCCAGGCGGTTCTTTTGTACTGACCTGTTATATTCTATTATTAAATCTTATTTTCATGATTTCTCAAAAAATTAAGGAAGTATTCTAGCTTCAAATTAAATCTGCAACGGGTTTTGAAGGTCATTTATAAAGGTTGGATGAATTCTTATTTTTAAACTCCAAAGTCGTCTATAAAGGACATTGAAAGCATAGTAATTATCTAACAGATGGGAGCAATAGTTATACGAAAATTTTTATTTCAAACTAGGTAAGATATTGCTCTAGAGAATATAGTGCAGAAATGACATATTTTTACCAGATCTATAACGACTTTAAATGTCTACAGTTTTGCATGAATCTGTCACAAAATCGGAACAAAATGTTATTTTGTTGCTGAGAGGAATGTAAAAATAAAATAATATAAAATAAAAATGGTTCGAATAGAAGCGGCAACATTGCACACATATTTTATAACGATAGAGCATCTCCGTTAACATAAACAACTACAATAAATTCATTATTATGGTATTTGTACCTTGAAGAAATGGGATATGTGATCGATATACACACATATAGAGTTTCCATTTTAAGCAATATAAAACCGTCAACATAATAGAACTGGATATGAATATCGATTTCGCGGAATTGGAAATATTTCGATACAGGCAAAGGAAAATCTGATTTCCAGAACACTTTCGCGAGAAATCATAACCGATACGATCGACTTGTTAAATTATTGAAGGAATTCTTCTCGAAAACATGTATATTCCTTAAATTATCCCGAGTCGAATACGAGAGACAATTTTCTAAAAATTTTCATGACTCATAAAAAATCGCGGGAATTAATTTGTCCTCGATTGGTATTCGTTAATGCAATTTCACACCAGAATGTTTTTAAAATAAAATAAAAATATTTTTGTTATTTACAATGTTTTTTTTTTGACAGACACCAGCAGTTGATTGACTTTGTAATTAACTTGCCATGACAACTAGTAAAACATTATATACAAAAATATTATCAAGCGTGTGGAAAGTATCACTTTAAGACGTCAGCTTCTTACGTTCGTACGTTTTCAGTACTTTAGTCAAGGGTTTGGGAGTGATCGGATGTTTGTGGCCGCATATGCATGGAATGATATTAGCTCCTGGCATCTCAAATGGAATTTTGTCTTTGACAGATCGAAGATGTTGAGAGATTTTTGGACAAGTGGTAAATTTGGCACACAGACCGATACCTTAATGTATTGTCACATCACCGTCCGGTTCAAAAATCGTCGGTTATCAAGTATATTGTTTACAGAGCCATAAAAGTATTTCAGTCCGGGTCATTAAACCCAAAATTAAAACACGTTACCTCTGCTCTTCTCTCTAATAATTTCCACATTAAAGATATTAAGGGTTCCATCACAAAATACACTTCACCACAACCTTCCAATAGCAATGAATCCGAAAGCAATCCCACTGTTGTCCTTACATTCAAAACTTTACTGACCACATATCAAAAGTTCTAAAGAAATATAACGTCAAAACCAGATTTACCACTTGCCCAAGAATCTATCAAGGTCTTCGATCCCTCAAAGACAAAATTCTTTTGAGATGCCAGGAGTTTACAGCATTCCATGCATGTGCGCCAAAGAATACATTTGAGAGACCGGACGAAAAATATCAATTAGGCATGAAAGAACATGAAAGAGCCTTAAGACCAAAACAAATAAACTCATCAGCAGTTGCCGAACACAATCACGAAACCGGGCATAAAATTTTACAACAAACAATATATAAGCAGGTACAGTTTCAGTCAAGCTCTGAAGAAGCCATCAGGATGAATGGCGAAACGTTAGCTAGTTCGACTTAACAAAAACCGACGCAGGAGGAATCCAGAAGTTTAAAAAAAAAATCAATTTTGATTGGCTAAAACCATTCTGGTGTGAAATTTTAATTCAAAAAATATTATATCTGGTTGGTTTCCACATATATGAGTTTTTCGGTTTTATTTTAACTTACTGATGACGACGATGTGTGAGATGTAATCAGGTTGTATAGTAAACATCTCGTTTTTCTTCTTGCAATTTCCGACACCGTTGCACTTGATCACCTTGATGTCTTTGTAGTTGATAGGAGCTACAGGTGTTACGTCCAGGCGCTATAAACAAAAATATAATAACTACAAAGTTACTTATATTATTATTTACAGGAGAGATATCAACAGAATACAGCTTGTCCGCAAAGCATGCCTTCGATTATTTTTGACATTAAAGGAAACGAAGTGACTTTCTATAAAGATTAGCAGAATAAAATTCGATATCGAACAGATATGCAAACTCTTTATTTAAGATTTCGTTGCTACATATCTCTTCAATGTCGTTTAGAGTAAGACAAATTTTAGGAATACGTTATACCTACACCTCAACACCTACTTCTTTAAAAATAAATTGTGCACAGAATTAAAGATCCTCATTGAAGAACTTATTAAATTAAAATCACTTAATTTTCTGTGTTAAAGTGCAATTCTACGATTTAAAAACCTAAAAAACAAAGATTTTATTTAGCGAGAGGTGTATTTGTGACAGTGAGATTTCATATATCTCTTAACATTGTTTCTTTAGACTTTAACACTGACCATATTAAATAAATAAATATTGTTTCACGCAAATATTGCCCATATTTTAAACAACTGAAAAACATTATCAGTATTTGCATTTAAATATGAAAATATCCTTTAAGGTAATACTGTATGAATGGCTTATCTCTTTTCTCTGTTTTTTTTTCTATTTAATTTTTACCATAAGAAGTTTTCAGTTAATATCACACTACACTTTTTATAATCTGTTTTTGTAGAGGATATAGAATAGTTTTGTATTTTGAATGGCCTACTGGAGTAGGTATTATATAAAAAAGAATGTAGCTAATCTGGAATCTTTTTTAGATTCTTTTTTTATTATAGATATTCAATTTCAGCCTCATTTTTGCTTGTAAAATTGGATATAGCTACTGTTACTGAATATACAAACACTTGCAGGAAATAAACTACTATTATTATTTGTGTATTTTCTTGTTGAATATTATAAACTTGCTAATAAGAAGAACGTGAAAAATCGGATCTTTAATAAGAAATTATTTTAATAATTTGTGTGGACTTCGCTAAACTTGCACTACGCTTAATACACTTTAGTTTCAATTATTATCAGTTTATTAATCTATTAAAATACTAATTTCTACAATAAGGTAAGGTTTAGTGTTTTTCCCAGGTATCCCGCAGTTATAATACTAATCAAACCTATAGAAACCTTGTAGAATCGGCAGAAACCGTTCGACAAATAGCTGCATGTTTCTGTGGTTAGGTATGTAAATCTCCGAACAAAGAAAATACAGATTTTATCGTGAAACTCTATTTTGAAAAGTAAAGGAAATTACATGCAGGGAATGCTACTTGCGTCCTGAAGGAGAATCCAAGTGATAATGCCGATATTCTAAAAATGCTCTCCCCAAAAGTAGTTTCTATCATGTAACACATTCGGATAATCTCTAGTCTGAGAATAATACATACTACCACAAATAACAAAATGAAACTAAAAATTACAAGGAAAATATATCTGCGACAATTGAACTGTACGGTATGGCCTGTCTCAATCTTCATCGTGCTGATTTTTGTCCGCAATTATGAAAGTTACCTGCCGACGGCAGTAAAAGTGGGGTCCGGTAGGTATTAAAGGACAGAACATTAGTGAGGGCCTCTCAAAGGTTTCGGTAATAATATAATTTTTTCGTTTGTTTAAGTGGGTATAATCTTAATAAATTACAACTAGAAAAAAGAATGACATTTAATATATAGAATACATTTATGGCTATACATAATTACATTTTTATCCTAAACGTCTAAATCTAATTCTGTTTCACTATCAGAGTCGTCATTGAGATTATTTATTGTTTTGTGTAGAAATCTCTTCAATTTTTATAATGTACTGAATTTTTCCAGCTCTCAATTAGTATGCTATTAATTACATTTTTTTTCAAATTTATAACACTCAAATTTAAAGTAGGAGTAACATTTTCTGCTCTGCCTGTGATTTTACTTGGTTCCACAAATGCTCTATGGGGTTAAACATGCAAAGTTTTCCAAAAGTTGCGCTTTTTTGTAACTGAAATCAAAATAAATATAATTTTCTAGCAAATATTTCTGGATTGCAGTTTTTTTTATTGTATCCGCATGGTAATCCAAGCTGGAATCCTTAATATTCTTTGCATACAACAGCAAGCAGTTTGGGACAAATCCGTCTTCTGACCCAGCGTGTGTTATAGTGATGCGTTGTTGTTTATTTAAAGGTGCCTTCGTCTGACAGGTTTGAGTGGAATCAACCCATCCTTTCGATACAGTGTCGCGTGTACCTAACCATGTTTCATCAAAGTAAATTATCTATCTGTTGTCTAATCTATATCTTTTAATTTCTTGAAGGTAATTGAATCTCCAATTGCATAATCTGTGTGATTCCATCGCCACTTGCCTTTTGTCTATTACAAACAACTCTATGGAGGGAGGCACGGCTTAAATTTATATTGGTTTCATCTTCTTCTAGCTGCTTTTACAATTTATCCTAGGTATGAACAAATTAGCTTCGATCACGGCAATATATTTTCCTTCTTATTAGGTCCTGATCACTATTGTCTCTACGGCGAGTTTGAAAATCACTACGTTTATTCTTTTTCTTCAATTCTCCGCTATTAATAATATGCGTCAGCGACGCAATTGGCATTTTTGTAAGTAGACAGGTTTCGTTTAAAGCTTCTTGTTGAATAAGTCCTCTGCTGATTAAAGTTTCACACACATTTTTCCCAATGTGTTTTGCATCAAGTGACAAATGATTTCTACGCGACATTGTTATATTCTCGTAAAATAACTTTTTCGAAACGCACAGTAAAAATGATTATTCAACACTGCTACAAATAGTCAACACTGAAGAAATATATCAGAAAGAAAGAAATATACCTGGCCCACCCCTGCCTTGTCACTCAAGTAATGTTATGTGTGTGTTGATGGCTTTACCCAATAACAATAGGTGATAACATCGTTAAAGTTTTATGAGTGGGGATCCGTCAAAAGCTAACACGATTAAGATTGAAAGAGACTATAGTTAATTGCAAGAATTGCTGTGTACAATTTAGGTATTATAGGAGTAATTTTTGTTATTTTATAGAAGCTATTCGAATACCGGGGGAGCCGGTGTAACGGACCCGCTGCCGTCGCGCCATCGTTAAATACTTCCGTTTCATTCTGACCCAATTTTGCTAACGACACGGGTGTTGGAAAATTAGATTTGTCGCATATTTTCGCCAAGTTATATTACCTCGTGACGTGCGTTAATGAAAACATAGAAAATCCATTAAGGGTAACAAACAAAAAGACGCGCGCGCCGGAGGTGGCGGAACGAAATTCATAAATCGGTTTTGTTTCCCGTCCCAGGACGTCGTTGTTCTGGTTTCGAATTCCCTCGGCGGGGCCCTCGCCGCCGGGCGTTTCGATAATAATTTTATTACAATGACGGGACGCCGGCGGTTATCTCGCAGTCTTGCGAGTTAATTACTCGAAAATTGATTACAAACTAATTGAGATATTGGCGCGGTCGGTCTGAAAATAAGGACCCGACGACCTTTCGCGTCACAGGGAGGCGTCGTTTGAGCCGACCACGCGAACTCGTATATTGGGGGACATACAGCGTCACCACTAAATTGCATATCATGCGAACTTTACTTATTAATTACCATTAGCAAATTTTGTTGCTGGTTATAGTGCATCGAAAATAATAAAAAAATTAATTTACGAAAGTTTTTAAATACATGTCAAAATTAATACTTTTATAACAAATATAAAAAAATTAAAATATCGAGGAAAAAAAGTTGTTTCTTTTTCACTTTTCTACAAATATCCGATTTTTCAAAGAATCTAAACTAATCTAGGTTATTTTGGTGCACCCTAATTTAAAAAAATAGGAATCAAACTATTATATAGACTAGACGAAATACTTTAGTAAACTGTTTTCCTTTAAATTTATCTTAACACTCGATTTCAAAGAACATCTGCAAACTCACTGATAGAAATCGTCATCATTTTTAAAAGACATAAAGTTTAGTTGATTTTATTGAAATTCATTTTTATTATTTTTGCTAATGTATTTTTTGACCATTTCTGTACAAGATACATTATAACAAGAAAAAGTAATGTAAATATAAAAACGATTATTTATATGATTTAAAAACCCGTTATACAGCATATAAAGACAAACTGCCTAAACTCATTAATAACTCAAAAAGTCATTGTTTTTTTAAATGCAATTAAGGGCGATAGAAATAATAACACAGGTTTGTGGAAAAGTCTACAAAGGATGAATGGTACAAAGAAGAAATTCTCGATAACGCAAATGCAAAGCAAGGATGGCACGATAAAACGAGAAAAAAAATGATATTGCTAAGAATACCTGCCGAACTGTATGTATCCGCATGAGACCGATGTCAGCGAAATCAGGCGCACAACACTAAATCTAAAATCCAAAAAATCTCATGAACTTGCCGGCATATGGGCGGAAACACTCAAAAAGATAGTAGGTTTTATTGTGAAACCTCTAACTCATATTCTAAATAACTGTATTAATAAAGGGATATTCCTAAAAATTTTAAAAAGACTGTAAACCCTGGAAATTATAGGCCAATCACAAACTTCGAAGAAATATTTCAAAAAAATACGAAAAAAACAGAATTGTTAGCTATCTCGAAAAATTAAAAATTGTACACTATCATCAATTTGAACGGTAAATCCACCCAAGATGCTATTACTACACTGAAAGAAAGAAATCTATAAATCTTTAGATAGAAATCTTAAATCACTTTGTGTTTATTTAGATATTAAGAAAGCATACGATAACGTAAATCACAAGAAGTTGATTGATGTTTTGAAGGGTCTACGATTTAGGGGAGTAGCCTTAAAATTAATATCAAGCTATCTCAGTGTCCGAACGCAATTTGTCATCCAGGATGGTATGCTTAGTTGTTACAGAAAGGTTGAATACGGAAGTGTAATGGATCAAATTCTCTTTGTTTTGTACATTAGCGATATGTTTCGTGTAAACTCAAATGGGAATATTTTGAGTTTTG